AAAAATCTACTTTTCTGGTGTCTATAAATGATGTTTACAAACAGCATTGAGTTGAGGCACATTTGCATATTCATGTAAATTTGAAGGGGGACAATATTGTGATAACCTAGAGTAATATCAACTAACAAAAGAAACATCCTTTTCACCTTTTAAGCTCATTTTGGAGTCGTTCAATCTGAACCTCTCTGATCAAAAAGAAGCACTGCTGAACATTCAACACATTCATTGGTATACATGCACAACTTTTGGAACCAGATAAAGCAGGAATGTTTGTTTCTGTATGACCTAATGACTACAGATGTACTTTTAAACACAGACGTTTGATGAAATCTTGAACATTTGATTGGATTAGTGGAATTTAAAGATTTGAAATGTCTTTAAGTCTGTTAATCACTATCTTAGAGGTAATCATTCTCTGCTTAATTTGCTTAACTGCTCTATTTGGTAACTTGAGCTTATACATCATCGTTTACAAGAACAAAGATCTTCAAACGGTCACCAACTTGTACATTCTAAACCTGGCCGCGGCAGACATCATGGTGTCAGTTCTAAGCATTCCGTTTACTGTGGTGACAGTCATTACAGGACACTGGCTGTTCGGTGACACAGCTTGTGTGGCACTCGGCTTTTTAACGATTTTATCCTTCATTACATCTGTGATGTCTCTTGGTATGATTGCCATCAACCGATATTTTTACATCGTCAAATGGAACACTTACAAAAAGACTTTCTCGAAGAAAAAAAGTTTGCTCTACGCTGCTGCAGTATGGATAGTCTCAATATCTTTGGCTTCTCCTCCACTTTTCGGCTGGGCAGAATACAGCTTCATTCCTGGAAAATCCTACTGTTTTGTTTACTGGCCTTCAAATGTGTACTTCATGTATTTCATGATCACAGTGTGCTTTTTTGGGCCTCTTTCTGTCATGGCCTTTTCATATTACAACATCTTGATGTTTACAAAGAATTTAAAGAGACGTATTGCAGTGTCTAGAAACTACCTTGCACCAACTCCTCTACACCATGAGCCTACAACAGAAGAGAAAACCCAAAAAGACAATCCAGAAGACATCAAGGTTGAAAGACCAGGGATAAATAGACATGAGGAAGGCACCTTTAAAATGACTTTGAGATCAAAACCAAAGTTTCAAATCACACCTGAAGAAACTAAGATCACAAACATGTTTCTTTGCGTGGTTGCCCTGTTCATCATTTGTTGGGCTCCATTTGTTATAACCATGTTTTTTGATGTGTATTATTCAAGGCCCTTGCCTCACACAGTTGATATGGCAACACTGCTACTTGGTTATCTGAACAGTATGTGCAATCCTATCCTGTATGGATTGTGTAATTCAGCTTTCAAACAGGGATTTCTGAATCTATACTCAAGATTTCTACCCAAACGGTTCAAACCTACAAATGTGACATAGCTAGAATCGACAACAAATGTGCCTCTTTGTGATCTGCAGCTGTACATGTAGATAGATACAGTGGACAGACGGACAGATGGATGAAAGAACGGATGGACAGACAGACAGACAGACAGACAGATGGACAGACAAACAAACAGACAGATGGAGGGAAGGATACTAAGATAGACAGATACATGTCTAGATAGACATTTAAGCTACTTGATCTAAGATCATGATAAATCATGATTGAAATGATTAAAAAATATAAAAAATGACTTAAAAAACATTGAAACTAAAGTTCTGTAAAACACACTTAACAGGTATTTTGACCAGTGAACTTTGGTC